TCACACAACCTCACCCACCCAGGTACGCTCACGAGGGCATCCTGCGCTGTGCCCGTGCCATCCGGGACCACCTGGACGACCTCACACTGCTCGACCAGCTGCTGTTCGGCGGCCGCAACGCCGCCCCCGCGCCGCCCGGCAGCCGCCACGCCCGCGAGCTCGCCGGCGAGGGCGCGGGCACGAGCGGGTCCGCGGCCGCCGCGGCGGCGGAGCGGCTGCGGGCGGCGCTGAAGGGGCGGGACTGCCGGGGGTGGAAGCTCATGATCACGGGCCACAGCCTCGGTGGGTGCCTTGGCATGAGCCGCGGCGCCTGGGCGCCGCAGAGCCCTGCAAGCCCGCGAGTTCAAGCAAAGGCGTGGGCCGCGCCCTTGCCGGCGCTGCGCCATGTGTGGCCCCGACGATGCGCAGACGACGAAACACGTTCCACTGTTTAACAGTCCGACGGCGGCCCACGCGCTGCCGCTGGGGACCAGTCATTGACTGAGGGGCCTACGACATGTGGACCGGGCCCAGCTGGACCCCTTTGTGTGCGTGCAACCGCCTACGCCGCCGTTGAAGGAATCCGACTCTAGATGCGTGCATCCTGCCTGTGCTGTTTGCTTTGATATCATCAAAGTGCATGCATCGCGTTCACCCTCCCCCGGCGCCCAACTGCAGGCGCGGGCGTGGCCGCGCTGCTTGTGATGCACTACCGGGCGCGATACCCATCCATCGACGTGCGCGCCTGGTGCTACGCGCCGCCGGGCGGCCTGCTGAGCCCGGGGGCGTCGCTGGCGCTCGAGGATTACTGCTGCTCCCTCGTGTCATCCAAGGTGGGGGGTGACGCGTACGCGGCCCCTTCAGCCAGAGCCCGCAAGCCCGGCGCGCGTGGGGATACAAAAAGGAGGCAGCCTTCAAACCACGCGCCGTGGGCTTTAAGCGGCGGCGCACCGCACCGCGCCGCTGGGCGGGCGGGGTTTAGTCCATGGATCGTCTGCGCGGGTGCGCCTCGGCGGCCTTCCCACGCTCGTATCAAAGTCGCCGCAGCAATTTGCACCAGCCTCATGTCGGTGCTGCAACCCTGGGCACTTGAAACGCACACATCGAATAGCAATCATACTACCCGCAGGACATGATCCCGCGCATGTCCCTTTGGACTGTGGAGTTCCTGCGCGCGGAGCTCATGCAGGCCGCGCTGCGCTGCAAGGTGCGGCGCTGCCTTGTCTTTCCCCTTTCGCTGGCGTGCTGCGCGGGCGCCGTGCACCCGTGCCTCGCCTCCGCGCGCTCCCCTCAACTGGCCCCCGCAGCTGGGGGGGGGGGGGCGCCGGCGGCGCGACTCGAGTACTGGCCACGCCTGTGGGCGCGTGCGTTCGCAGTTCAGATCTGCTGCCTGCAAACGCCCTAAGAGCTGCGGGGCGAGTCGCGCATGCCGCGTCCGCTCTCTGGAACAATCACCCCCAAGCGCCTGCCCATCTGGTGCGTTGCAAAACGCCTGCCCATCTAGTGCTCGTGCTCACACACACGTTACAGGTCTCCAAGACGCGCCTCCTGCTGGGCACCCTGCTGGGCCGCACCTGGCGCGAGGACGAGGTGCTGCTGCCCTTTGAGCAGCTGCCGCCCGAGAAGCTGGCCAGGCGAGCCGCGGTCCCCGACGCCGACGCTGCCTGCACGCGAGCGCATACCATAGGGCTGCCTCTGTGTGTGCTTGCTCTGGTGACTCCCCCCCAAACACACACTTGCGGCGCGGGGCGCCATCGCTACCTCTTGCATGCGCAAGACATCCGCCGTTCGACCCGCTGCAGCCTGTGGCCTTGGACCTGTATCACCCCTTCCATCCGCCCAAACCGGCCCGCATTTATCACGTGCCTTACACGCTATTTCTGACATTAGTCATCCCACACAATTCCGTTGATGCAATCACTCGTTTTAAAAGGTACGAGGCATACTGTCATCACGTGGAGACTGACCAGATCCAGGACCCCCTGAGGGTGAGTCATGCCGAGACCAGACTGCACCGCTGGCTCCGCCACGCGCGCGGAGCTAAGAGCGCAAGGGGATACTAGGCAGCGCCCAAAGTCCAAGCTGCGGCCCGCGGCACGGGCACCCGGGCGCGTCAAGGGCACCCAGCCGCCTGTGTGGCCGCTCGTAGCGAGCCCTTTTGCTTGCCGCAGCGAAGCCTCACGTATTTCTGGCCTTGTCTTTGACCCTCCTCGTTTTGCCTCCACCCTGCGGCGCCCCCAGGTTCGAATCGCCCGAGAGTTTGTCCCCCCTGGGGCCGTAATCTGGGTGGAGCGGCGGAAGTTACGGCCGCCGCCGCGCGAAGAGAGGGAGGGCGCCCCGCGGCAGCAGCAGCTGGGGGAAGGCGCCGACCCCGAAGCCGGCGGCGGCGGCGGCGGGCAGACTCCGCGCGGCGGTGGCGGCGGCGGCGCCGCCGCGGCGGCGCGCGCCCTGCTGTTCGGCCCCTGGCGGCGCGGCGTCACCCGGGGCGGCGATGGGGGCATCAGCGGCACTTGGAGCGGCAGCAGCGGCAGCGTTAGCAGCAGCAGGGCGGCGGAGGCGGAGGCGGCCGCGGCGGCGGCCGCGGCGGGGGCGGGTTCCTCTGGGCAGGAGGATCTGCCGAAGCAGGGGCTGCTGGGGCCGCGGCCCAAAGTGCGCCTGGTGGCCCACAGGTACACCGGAGAGGAGCTGATAGCGGGTGAGATGCAGCTCCCCTCAACATCCTCCCGACGGCCGGCCTGCGCGCGCCTTGTCGCTCGTCCCACACGCCCCGCATAACGGCTGGCCCCCCCTCTCAAGAGCCGCGCGTCGGCGGAGCTGCCGCACACTGCTGCAAATTCGATTTGCGCCCTGCACACCTGATGTCCGCTTGCGGGTATGATCGATGCCCCGTAAGTGCTGCCACCCAGCCACCGGCTCCCCAACCGTCAATGCTGAACTTTAAGCCCCTGGGTCGTCCCAACTCCCAAAACTGCAGGCGGCATGGTGGTGGCGGGTAGCATGTTCTCTGACCATGTGCCAGTGCTGCAGCAGAGGCGCCTCAAACAGGTAATCTCGTGCGCACGCGTACCACACCCACGCGCACGCACCGCCGCACCAGGCGCTGCTTGCCTGAGCGCTTGCTCGCGCAACAGCACGGCGGGCCTCCCAGGCCTCCGTCGAATAAATCTGGTGGGCCGTGGACGCCTGAGGGACCGCACACCATGCATGGTTTTCGCACACATGGCTAAAAGTGCAGAACCGCCCCCGCACTACCCCTGCCCCGCAGCTCATCGCGCGCCTGTCGCAGCGGCGGCAGGATCAGACGTGCGGCCCCCCGCGCGCGCGGCCCGCATGCGCGACGCCGGAGCCGCCCTGCGCCGCGCCTGGGCAGCAGTAGGAGCGCAGCCCGCGGCTGCGCCGGCGGCAGCTGGCTGGGCGCGTGCGCGTCGCTCCGCGGCGTTAGCCGCGACGCCTGCTTGCGGTGGCCATGCTTTGCATGTGTTGGCTTTTTCACCCTATTGGTGGGGCCGCACCAGCAGCAATGCTGGGTTTATTGATCGAGTGTGACCACCCGACTTCCACAGTGATTGATCTCTCCCTCCCATTTTCCTTGCACCCATTTCTTCACGGCTTCACTGGGGTGGCCAGCGCTCTTTGGTTGCGGCTTGGGCCAGTGCATGCGGCAACTCTGGTTGCGTGGTTCATGATCTCTCATACAACGGACATCTGACATGTGGCGTGCGCCGTGCGAAGTGTGACGTGTGGCGTGCGACTTGTGACGTCTGACGTGTGGCTGCACCACTGATTTCTGTCCGCCCCCAGGATCGAGGCGTCCCCCAAGCTTTGGCGGCGAAGAAGAACTTTGAGCTTGCGCAATGACGATGCTTGGTTGGGGCAATCGGACAGCAGCATTGCCTTGCTTCTGTGGGGTCGGCCGCTCCCTCAGGCAGCCGCCCCTGCGTTGCAAGGCGCGACATACACCTGACGCATGTGACTGATACGGCGGGCTGAGCTCAATCACTTGGAGAGGCACATGCTTGGTTGTTGGGATTGCAGCGCGGCACCCTGAGTATGCTTACGTCATCTGACATCATCCTGCCCATGAGAATTCAGCCGCATGCTTTCGTGGGAACACCGCCAGCTGGCAATAGAAACAGCGTGTAACAGTTTCTTCACTGATCTGTTGCACACTATAGCCTGGGTCCTATGGCAGTGTGTGCAAGTCCAATCTTTGATGCGCAACTCATTCGCCGGCCACCCTTTCCAGCAGCTGTTTCGGAGGCCCCTTCTCTGCTGCGGCTGTACAAGGGATTGAGGCGCGCTGAGATGAGCTGCCATAGCATGAACTGAACCCAAGATCTGTTTTTGAGAACTCAAAACTTTGCTTCTGACAGCAGCAGCGCCCTTTTCACCCGTGAGTGCGACACAATCTCCAAGGGGCCAGAATGGGGGAGGGTTTGCCTGGGCCATGCCGGCCGTCATGAGAGATTGGTCATGCCAAGTCACAGGAGGGAGGATTGCTGAAGGCAGCTTGAGGCCGGGTCAAGAAGCTCGCCAAACGCCTGGCAAAGTCGGCTGTGGTGGAAGGGGGGAGGCGCGCTTCGAACAAGGTCAAGACGCGCATGGGCTATCTGCTGCAGTTGGGGCGCGGTAGCCGGACGTCGGGCGTGCAAGCAAATACGAAGTGGGGCGGTGCAGGGTGGTCGTATGGCGGATGACACCCCCACGCTGTTCTTAAAAGTAAGGGCCGCGCCCCGCAAGACAGGTTGGGCCAAGAAACGGCCCTTGCTTTGATCATCTTTTGGGTGAGGTGTGATGCAGCAAACCTCAAGGTACGGAACACGCTGTTTGTCGGGAATGCGGCGCCTGGCAAAAAATGGTGGACAAGGCCTGCAGTCCAGTATCAGCATCATCACACCAGTGCCATGACGCTGCTGTTGATGAGGTAGGGGTTATCGAACCTCGTGGCGTCCCCGGGCAGCTTCCCGGGCAGCGGCAGCAGCCGCACCGCCAGCGGCTTGCGCAGGCGGCAGGCCAGCAGGGCGGTATCCATGATAACACCTGCAAAAGCACCCAGAAGCACCTCGTCAACCTCCACGCCAAAGTCGTAATCGTCGCTCTGCCCCCAATCCTCGCCGTCGCCGACGCCGCGACTCTCCGCCTCGCCTTGCGCCTGCCCGAAACCGCCGGCTGCGGCCGCCGGCGCCCCGGGCTCGATATCGGCGTACACATCGGCCCAGCGCGGCCCGGGGCCGGGCACCGGCACGGTGTCGAGGCCACAGCCGCAGGCCGCGCTCCACTGCAGCAGCTGCGCGACCGACAGTCCGCCGGCCGCGGCGGCGGCGGCGAGCCCCTGGTCCTCGCAGACTGCCAGCATGAGCCCGCAGTAGCCTGGGGGGACAAGGGAGTGTGTTGGTTGCAGTACTGAGTGGCTGGGTCAACTGTGTCATTGACCACAACGAAACATGTTTCTCCTCGCGCTGAAGGCCCCCTCGATCAGGCTGGGACGACCAGACCCCTTTCCGCGTCGCACAAGCCCACGCCCTGCGCGGGCGCCGCCCCCACCTGTTAGCCGCAGCGGGACCGCCTTCAGCGCCCGCGTCGCCGCCCCGCACGCCGCCAGCGTCCCGGGGCCCCCGAAGCGCCCGTAGCCCAGCCGCTCGAACGATGACGTCATCGGGGGCGTGTCCAGGCCGGGCGCGATCGACGTGTCGAGCCCGAGGTACCGGAAACCTCGACCGCCGCCGGCGCCTGCGCCGAGGCCCGCGGCGCCGCCCTCTGCGACAACGCCCCCCTGATTCTCGGCAGCAGGCGCGGCGGTGGCGGCGGCGGCGCCGCCGCCGGCCGAGGCGCCGGCGCCGCAGTCGGCCGGGGTGGGCCCGAGCTCGAGCGCGAGGGCGGTCGCCTCCACAGGCGCGAGCGCGGCGAGCAGCGCGGCGGTGAGCGCGGACTCCGCTGCGGCCAGGGGCAACGGTGACCCCGCCGGCGGCCTTCGGTCCGCACCGCCGCCGCCGGCTGCGGCGGCCGCGTCTGCTGCTGCTGCTTCTGCTGCACCTGCTGAGTTTGCTGCCGCTGCGGAAGCCCAGGCGTCGGCGAGTATGCCGTCGCTCTCGATGCCGATAGCAAAGCAGCCGGCATTGGCGTCGGTCGCCGATGCCACCGGGAAGAAGGGGATGCCGGAAGGACCGCAATTGATGGCTTTGGAGGGGGGGGAGACCGGGTGGCAGGGTGAGGCCGTTCATGTTAGGATTGCTGCCAAGGAGGGAGCGGAGGGCTGGGCCCGAATGGGGCGTTTTGAGTGGGTGGCAGAGCCACGTGAGGGGTTGAGTTGGGAAGGCCAGAGGCGGGCACGAGCGACGGGATGGGCGCGGGCGGAGCAGCCGCTTGGGTCATAAGCGGGTGGATGGTGGGACCATCCACGGGGCGGGTGACCGAGGATGGGTGGAGCGGCCGCTGGGCGCGCAGCGCGGCCGCGCCGTGCCGCGAGTCGCGATGCTTTTCTCCCCAGCTCTCACCCGCAGCGAACCCAAAGTTTCGTCGCCCGTCCGTGAGCGCCGCAATCTGCAGCGCCGCCGCGGCCGCGCGGCGCGCGAGTGCGCCGCAGGGCGGCTCGGCCGGCGGCAGTGCGAAGCTGCAGCTGACGGTCGAGGTGGTAGCCAGCAGCGGCTGTGCGGGGGATGAGGAGGAGGGGTGGCGCCATGGCCGATGCCTTTACGCAGATTTGCCTTGAAGGGGAAGGGACACCATGCCCCTTGTTACAGCTGACAGCGGCACGAGCGGTCAGCGACGCGTCTTGCTGCTGCGCGTGGGCGCGCCCGCGCGCGCGGCGTGGGCGCCGTGCCGGGTGCGGCGCGGGCGTGAAGGTGCACAACACAAGGGTGCTGCCTTGCGGCCGCCTCAGAGCGGCAAGGGGTCGCGCTGCGCCGCGGGGCGCGGGAAGCTTCTCACTGGGAGCCACGGGAGGTACTCCTCGCCAGTGACGCCGCCGAGTGACATCATCGGCACGCCGCAACGGTGCGCGAGCAACTCCAGCCGCCGCGCTGCGCCGGCCAGCGCGGGGCCCGGGGGGCCCAGGAATAGGTCCAACGGCTGCGTGGCGATGCGGAGGGTTTGCACCTCCAGGCCTGTGGGGTGGCCGGGTGGGGAGTCGGGATGGGCGGTGATCCGGGAGGTGTGGGGGCGGGGTGAGAATGGAGGATGGGGGTCGAGGGCTGGTGTATGCGGAAGGAGGGAGAGAGGAGCGGTTGCGCCCGTCAGGCCGAAGGGCAGGTTGCATGTGCAAAGGTCCTGCGTGCATTGACAACATCCATCACCCCACGGCCTCCACTCGGTCTCACCAAGAGCTTCAAACGCCGTCTGTGCCCGTGCCAAGAAATTGCCTGCTGCCGCCAGCTCGGGCTCCCATTGGGCCTCGTCAGATGGCAGCTTCACGAACAATGTGACGGTTCGGATCCGGAAATTGGGGGCCATGGCAGGTGGCGCTGCGCTCCCACCGCGCTGTGCCGCCGCCACACAAGCAGAGCTTGCGCGGTTTCTACGTGAAAGGTGCGCAAATTTGATGGGTGTGCGAAGGCTGAAAAGCATCTAAAATATGTCAAGTGATGCTACAGATCTGATAACAAGATCATCGACAATTCGCCCATTGGAGATGCGGATTATCAGATGGTGAGCAAGCCTGATATACATACACGGCATCGCTTGAGGCCTACACGGGCGTCAACAACCTGCTGCTGGGCTAACATGTGATGGCATGACTCAATGACTCAACGACAATTGCCGCCCCCGGCGGCGTCAGCGCTGATGCTGATATGAACCGACCCACCGCTGCATCCAATAGCATGCAGGACACCATTTCAGACCATGCATGCCGCACGCCACCACGCAAAGCAGCACAGCAGCTTGCAACCCCATACAGTGAGCACGAAGCAAACAGCACCACGTGCCTGGAGGTGGGTTGCGGTATGTTTGGAACAGAGATACGAGTATAAAAAGTCTATGCAAAAGACCTGATCAACCTTGGAAGCTGAGTAATAATAGGTGTCGAGTTTCACACAACAAGTTTGGGCTTTTATATGGGAGATAAATTTGGCGGAGTCTTGCAAAAACAACTGCACGGTGCGCCCCTTCGCCTGCCGTAATCAAGCAAGGCCCCCAACAGGCCACGCCCATCATTGTTCGCATGGCGTTTCTTACTTATTCCACCAATTCGTGAACCGTGAACCAATTCAATGGCTTCGCCCATACCTCATACCGTTGTTCGTGGGTGCTGCAGTCGCCAGCTTCTGGAGCCAGGCTCATGGGATTGGACATTTTACACCGGAAAGCAACACTGCAACTGCAATATTACGTTCGCGGCTGCTGTTTGAGCAAGGGGGCATCAGTGCCCACTCACGACTGGCTGCCAAGCAAATAACACTTATTCCTTATCAACCATTTTCCCTTTGTGCCACAGTCTACCTGTGGGGTCTGGGCACCAACGCGTTGCAACTATGTAATATGAATACAATCGCCATGAGCAGGGGTGGCGGGGCTGTGTCTGTGTCGTGACCAAGGCAGGTAAGGGATCCCATGAAATCTGCACAAGTTGACTCGTGCAGGCCTTGCTGGCAACGTTGGCAGCGAGGCGGCGGTCATCCAAGCTGGGACAGCAAACAGTTGATAGACCTCCACGCGTAGCAGTGCTCGCAGAAGTGTGGGGGGAATCACTGTTCCCTTCAGATGTTGGGACTGCGGGAGCCCCCGCGAAAGGCGATGTGGCAAGGCTGCACAGACCGCATGCGGCCAGCCACCTGCGCAGGTGGCTGGGCGCTCATACCATATATGCTGTGGCCCCAGGACGACATTGAGGACGTTGTAATGTCCAGTGCTTGCACGCTTCCGCGGCCACGCAGGCTGCCAGATTTGAGCTCTGCGACAATGGCTGGGAGAGTGGAGAGTAATGTGGCGGCTACATGCACGCCGCTCAGGACGAGCGTGGACACTGGCCACAAGTGCATGTCCACCTGCAGCGCGCACATGGGCAGATTTGTAAAACACAATTGGGGTTGCAGGTCTTGCTTGCGATGGGAACATGCAGTGCAGCGCATGGATCTGCATCAGCGTCAATACCCTCTGCCTGCCAACTGTCCCTGCCTACTGTGCACCGCCCCGCGTTTGCCTCATATGATCTGCTTGCATGCGATTTTGGTGATAAAAATTGATCAGGGCAGACTAGCGCACTGTGGTGGATGTCCCTGCGAGCAAAATATGCTTGGCGAAGCCCAGTGGGGCGCGCCGACTGCTGTGCCTGTGCAGCTGCTGCAGGCAAATGTGATGTACCTGCGTGCCTTCACATCAGCAAAGCTTTCCATCAGGCAGTATAAATGTTATCTATAAAGTTTCTTGTTCACCTGTGGAATCAAATACGGCCCCTCTAAAATCCCGCTCAAAGTGGTCAACGTGCATGGCCGCTCGCATGCGCTGAAGAGCGGAGGGAGGGCTGGGAAATAATGGCTTTGCACATAGGATCTCAGTGCTTCGTGAAGTCTGGGTCCTGGGGGGACCGGCCTAGCTTGTTAGTGGGCACCGTGCAGGCGCAGAAGCAGAACGGGAAGGGAAAGAGAGTCTATGAAGTCAAGGTAATCAGATGTGTGGTAGCTGCAACCAATTCAGCATGGTGCACGCACCCCAGCTGCAGGGTAGGACATGCTGCAGCTCTCGTCCCGCTGCTGAGTTGCGGCGGTGTGGCGCCGTTCACCGCTGCACTCGCAACACTATTCTACTATTCTAGAGCGCTAGTGCACCTTTTGTCCAACCCATCTCCCTCTCACCTCAAAGACGACTGATGGGGAGCGCTACACCTTCAGTCCAAGCATCGTGTTCCCACCTCCACCAGCCAAGCTGCTGACGATTACGCAACCCGCCCTGCTGGCTCGTGGCCAAGACGTGTGGGTGCGGCGGACCCAGCCCGACATCTATGTGCCAGGATTCTACTGCTGCGCGTCGGGGCCGGGCTCACACCGCGTGTTCATGGAGGGTGAGCGACGGACTGCTGTAAAGGCCGCCGCTGCCGTTCAAATGCTGCACTATGTGTCGCCCTCACCAGCCTTGCGCTGGTCGTCATGCAGCGGCTTGCAACCGCCGCACCATCGGGCTGGTTGCCCCCGCAGTGCAGCACACGGGGGTATGTGAGCCCTGTATCCTGGCCCTGCCTTTGGCTGCAGATTCCGGAGAGTTTGAGACGGTGCCCGCTGGACGCCTGCAATCGGCGCTCCGCTTCGTCCGCGACGGCTGGCAGCGGGTGGCCCCAAGAGACGAGGACCGCCACGCGCCGCGGCCACTGGGTGAGCGCATCGCGGTGAGCGGCTGTGCACGCATGTAGGGACTGGGGGACTCACGAGGCACTGGGCGGAATTCAAGTCCTTGGTTGCGTGGGGTGATGCACGGGATGAGGTGCAAGCAGTGCAAATTCACCATCTCACCTGATTTTGGGCAGTCCTTGCAAACGCACCCAGCCTGAATGTCCCATGACAACCCTTCACCAACATCATTACTACGCTCCGTGCACCGCTGACGTGGCAACCTCGGTCACGCCCTTGCAAATGCAGGTGATGGTGCCGACTGGCGACTGGGCCGAACTGGGGGTGGAGGCAACAGAATTACCTGCGGATGAGGGCGGCGAGTTTGACCCTGCCGGCCCAAACACCTGCATGCTCTACAGTTTTCGAAGCGCCAACAAGCGCCAGGAGTGCATCCACGGCCCCTTCCGCACGCCGCTTGATGCGCTTGTGGCGCTTTCCAAGTTTCAGCTGTCGGTTGGCAAGGGCGAGGCCTCAGTGCTCAAGAGCCAGACAGAGATCGAGGAGGTGAGGTAGCCCCTTCCACTCTCACACATCTTTGCCAGGAAGGGTCTCAGCTGCAATCGAGGTCCTCAGCCTTTGCTTGCCTTCCGTGGGTGCAGGTGCAGCAAAGTCGCCGCAACCTGCCACAGGGTTGACCTTTCAAGGCTTGGCCATGACAGGGCATGAAGGCACTGGTGGCCGCACTGCACTTGATTTTTACCAAACTCGCACCACAAGCTTCCATCATACTACACTGCGTTCAAACCCCCATACGCACGCGCACGCACGTGTGTGTGCACACAGAACACACACGCACACACACACGCACACACACACACACACACACCTCCTCATCAACTGCGAAGTTCCACGCAAGGTACTACATTGGCGCCCCTGAGGGCCGGCTGGAAGACTTCAAACAGCTCATGGACAAGGCGCGTGCCCCGTTCCAGATCCGTACGAAGGTGCCTGCCGCCAGGCCCCAGCGCGCCCCCACCGCGGCCGGCAACAGCGGCGGCGTGGCGGCGGGTGGCGGGGACGGCGCGGCGGCGCCCGTGGCGGCGTGCGGCCAGGCGGCGGCGGGCGGGGGGCCCGACGTTTTCACAAGTGTCGGCGCACCGCGGCGCGTGCCGCCTGCAGGCGGGGCCTCAGCGCCCACAGCAGCTGGTGTGGCAGAACCCCAACAATGGCTCCGCGCGTGGCTCGCTCGGGGCGCCAGCGCCGCGCTAGCGCAGCTGCTGCCGGTCGCCGCAGCTGCCTCCCCGCCGGCAACTGCGCTGCCGGCCGCACCCAGGCCTGCGGAGTCCTGCGATTCCCCTGCCCCCGTCTCTTCTGGGCCTCCGGGGCTGCCTCTGTTGGGAGACGCCCTCCCAGCGGCGGTGCGTCACTTGGGCAGCCCGGCCGGCAGCAGCCTCGCATTTGCAGGATCTCCATATAGCCAAACCAGCACGATGGCGGGCGCGACGGTGAGTGCGACGGTGAGTTCGGCAGCGGGCGCAGCGGCGGCGGCGGCGGCTCCCGGCTCGCCTGGTGTCAAGCGCGCCACGCCCGAGCGTGGGCCGGCTGAGCAGGGGTCGCCCCTGAAGCGTCCGGCCCTGCCTTCCTCCAGCTGCCTTGCGGCGCCACCCATGGCGCCTTCCGCGGCGCCGGCGCCGGCGCTGGCAACGGCTGCGTGTATGCAAGCAAGCAGCGACACCTGCCACGGCTGCGTGCGGGCCGACGGCGGCAGCGGCGGTGCTTGCGCAGCCAGCTGGCGTTGCTGCGCTGGCGCAGGAGGGGCCCCCACAAGAGGCGGCGCGCTCGCCGACTGCCAGGTTCCGCCTCCGGCCGTTCGACCTCGCCGTAATCAGGGCCAAGGCGGAGCACGAGATGACAGGATTTGTCAGGTCCGCGCTGCAGGGCTTTGAGGCCTCATCAAGCGAAAGCACGGTGCAGGCGGCGGTCGCGTCCCTAACAGGCAGCGGCATCGACAGCGTGCTGTCGCTGCTGCGCTGCCGCAAGGAGCAGCTGAGCGCGGCGCACGGCGTGCCGCCGGGCGTCACCGACGCGCTGGCGGCAGCGGCCCTCAGCAGCGCGCCACGCACGGCGCTGGCGGGGTGGGGGGAGCCGGTGGCCAGGGCGCGGGGGACAGTGGTGCACACAATTCCAGGCGCGGGCGCGGCCACCCTACTGGCCCCCGAGGCAGAGAGGCCGCCTGTGGCACAAGCCCTGAGGGGGCAGCCAACAGAGCCGGCCAACGCCGTGGCAATAGCGCCTTCGCCAGCGCTCATGCTGACTGCGGCGGCGGCGTCTGCTGCGGCGGATGCGCTCGCGCCACCGGCAGCTGTGCGGCTGGGTGCAGCGGCCCCGACTCTGGCAGAGCCCGGCCTCAAAGCGGTTGTTACTCAGACCATGCAAGCGCTTGGTCAGCCCGGGCTGGCGGCTTTTGTCACCGCGCAGCTGGCGTGGCGCGGCCAGATCACAACGGTCGCAGCTCTGCGCGGCCGACCGGCCCCTGACATCGCCGCAGCAACCAGCATTGGGCAGCTGATTGTAGAGCGGCTCCAGGCCACCGCCCGGGACCTGGTGGCCGGGGGATAATGAGTCAATGCAAACGGCGGCACCTTTTTTGTGCTAGCTACCAGGGGCCCGAAAGGGCGCCGCACTCTGCCCGCGTGGCTGCTCGCCTCCGCATTGTGCCCTGCACAGTTTTTCACCTGCTTGCATGAGTGGACAACTCGCCAAACCGTGCTTTGTCTGGGGGTGCCGGCGCTTCGACGCGCGCTTGCTTGCTGCCAGCCGTCTCGGCCCTTGTCCCATGCATGCGGCATCTCCTGGCCTAATCCAAGCTGTAGCCCTGCTCACACGCTCTGCTTGCTTGGCTGTGACCACCAGCGTCACTCTCTCATCTTTCGGCCTTCCTTGTGCGAGGTGTGCCCCAACTGCATGGCAATGCCTGGAACAGGGGCTGACCTGTGTCTGTGAGCACCCTGCTGCTGCGCCTGCAGCCTGGAGATCAACCTGCGGCTGCTGGCCTCCACTGCGTCACACTTGTGGTGCATGGCCGCTATCTGGGGGTTTGACTGCGCGCCCATTCCTCAAACCTCCACCCTCACGCAGCTCTGGCCACTCTTAACGCTTCAACCTACACCACACACTGCGTGCTGCAATGTTGCTCACCTTGGCTCACCAAACATGGCGTTCACCGCAGCATCCTCCAACTCGCCTCCTTTTCCTTGTCTGGAGCAACTCATCTGCCCACGCCGCCGCCGCCCATGGCGCGGGTGTTCTTGCCGGCCGTGCTGGGTGCTCTGTGTCTGTTCAATCACGCATTTTGTCCTCGTGCATGCACTGTCTGTGATAGTGCACCCCTTACTTGCACCCTAGCCCTGCACCCGTGCAAGCTGTGGTGCAGCCGATGCGCCTTCAACCGTGTGCAATCGTCCTGCAAAAGCAGGTTGCGCGCAGCAGCACTTAGTGAGTGTTTATGTGAAACAGATGAGCCGTTCCCAAATGGCCCTTGAAACCAATCCGGCAGTGTGTGTGTGTGTGTGTGTGTGTGTGTGTGTGTGTGTGTGTGTGTGTGTGTGTGTATGCTTGCCCATGTATCGTCGCCAGTGCAGACATGAGTGTGGGCATGTGTTGTGGGCTGGCCTTCACAAGGGGTTCAGAGCACGCGCGGCTGGTGGAGGGGGACTGCCGGAGCCGCGGGAAATGCCCAGGAAGAGCCCCGGCTGTCAGGGTGCCGACGTGAGGCAGGGACGCTGGGCCATCCCTTGGACTCGAACCCCCGTGACACACTCCTCAGCCCCCATCCCCAAAGAAAATCACAGCAACGGGACTTTACGTGTGTATACCCCCCTCTAGAAAGAATGTATTGCACAAACGCATTTGCAGCACAGCACAATGCAAGGA